GCATGCTTCGAAAGCGACATGATTGGGAATGCGCCCAAGGGATGGAATTAACTTGAATCTTACGACCTAATAGATCTATGATCGGTGAAAATGTAGTTGACAAGGTCAGCGCTCTCTTCCTTCACTGGGCGATAGGGAGCACAGGAGAGTTAGCCAGATTCGCGACGTCATAATCGTCCTTGGGAATGTTTCGTAAATGGAGAATATAGTTTTTGTCGAACTAAGCCTTAGAAGGGAAGGAGCTTCGGGGTGGGTGGCGGGGTTCAATTCCTACCCCACGCCAGCTTTTTGCACAAAGTACTCATCCCCACCCAGGAGTCTTCCCCTGAAGTTCAGGTAAAACCATAAAGCTTCGCTAAAAACCGTCTTTGAGCACAAGTACGGTCGGCTAACCCTCCTCTGCTAAGTGAGCTCAGTGATGGAAAAAAGCACTACCCTTCCCTCCTCTACTACATTTTCACCCATGAACTCCATAAACATATGAGTGGGAGACTTTCGAGACAGGTAATTTACAAGTTCAGACAAGTGCTAACAAGAATACAAGAGAACAATNAAGCCCACAGTTTCGTCAGGCGTAGTTTCGCACAGCAAATGGACGCGAAGGCCAATCAATAGCGCTCAGCAACGTCACTAAAAGTGGACGAGTTTGCTCCTGTCAAGGTCGTCCTTGAATCAGGGAAGATTTTCGAATCTTTCTGGCTCGTTGCCAACAAACGACACAACCCTTGCCGACTCGTAAGTTTGTCGGTTTGCAGATGTGGGGTCCCTTAGTATTGATTGTTTATCGCATGTTGTGGAACGTTATTGATCAGTTCGAAGTGTAATTGTCTCAGTTTTGCTAATTTCGATATTGATTACCCCTTTTAAGGAAGATGAAGTTGGTACGTTTTTTGATGAAACTCATCCACGAGACGGTAACTATCGAGTTAAAGAATGGTACGCTCGTCCATGGAGGAATAATCGGTGTCGATGTGGCTATGAACATGCACCTACGATCCGTGAAGATGACTCCAAAGAATAAGGATCCCATCAACTTGGATTCCCTTTCTATTCGTGGTAAGTTCAGTTCAAGTTCATAATTCATGCTAGTATCGAGTTTATTTTCGGGAACCTTTTTCAGCCATGTAATTAGGGAAGGTAACCTAATATGGGCAGGAATGGTAGCAGTAGTACCATGGGGCGGCATTATGTAGAGTTATCAACCTTACGCAATGCCGCCCAGTAATCTATTTTTTTTCCCCCGGCCGAGCCCTTGAGGCATTTCTATTGTGTAGACGTACGGAATTGCCGGTACAGGCGCATAAGTGGTCATGAAGCGTTTTAATGCGGATTGAGCAGGAAAGGGAGAAGGAAAAAAATGGAATTTTCGCTCCGTTAGAATTTATTCTCCTTCTAGTTGAGGTCGTAG